TCTTCCCTCCCCCTATTCTTAAGAAGCCAGGATAAGAATTTCAACCCAAATTAGGCAGCTCTGCTTTTTCTCCCCTCCCTTCTTTTTCATCTTTTTTTTTTTTTTAACCTTCTTATCTTTTTTAAACAGGAACACAAACACTGATAGTGGTCAAAGGACCAAGCTGGCAATGCTGTTGCTGAGATCTTTCAGATAATGAGAGGGATAATATTTGCAGGAAAATGGAGATGGAAACACACAGAGTTCAACACCCCTGTATACTTTGCCCTCGATTTTACACAAACAAAGAGTTGGAAGTCACTGTGTGTTTGCTTACAGGTTGTGCCACGTGGACTCTGATTGGGCTATTCCTCTTGTAACTACTCAATAATGCAACTTTTGAGTACATCTCCTCAAAATGTCCACATGGAAAACATGTTTAAAGCAGTTAAGAGTTGAATGTGTGTTTTCTTCCACACAAAGTTATTTCTACTTTTCTAACACAAGAACATAAATACTGCCATAAGGCCAAGAGTCCAACTATCTCAATAGCCTGTCTTCAGCCACAGTTGTAAAGAGCATGAATAAGGAAAACACATATGATAATTGTCACAATTACTACCCCAGCCTTCAGTTCCCTTGAGTTTGGAACATTTCCTCAGTGAAATGTGGTCTATGTGTACTCAGTAGCCCTCAGTGAATTTCTGTTCCAGGTATTTATCATGGCTCCCCATGAGTTCTTGTAAAACTTTATCATCCAAAATTCCCTTTGGCAACTGGTTTCATGGACTTACCAGTGACTGTGTGAAGGGCCATTTCCTTTTGTTCCTTTTGAACCTGGCTCCAACACCCTTCTGCTGCAGCCTCCAAGAGACATATATATATATATATATATATATATATATATATATATATATATACACATATACTGCAGAAAGAGTTATCCAAGAACTGACCTCCATCCACACTCAAAATGCCCACACTGTCTTCCTTTAACTGCTGGGGGTTTTTGTTTGGTTTGTTGTTTGGTTTTTTTTGTTTTTGTTTTTTGGGGGTTTTTTATTTTGTTTTTGGGTTTTTTTGTTTGGTTTGTTTGTTTTGGTTTTTTGTTTTTGGGTTTTTTTGATTTTTTTTTTTTTTGCTGTTGTTGGCTTTGGTGGGTTTTTTTGGTTGGTTTTCTCCTCTCTATTTTATTGGGAAGGCACAGCTGGAAAAGTGGAAGAAGGATGGATGGCTCATTTTATTAGAGGGGGGGGAATTTTAATTAGGGGATTTTCTACATTAGCATGTCTATTACTCTCTCTTCTTTAAATGCCCTAACTCAGTTTAAAACGATTTTACATTAGTTACAGTGGGACCTTGCCAGTGTTTCATTCCAACCTCCAAGCTACCCCTTTTCATGTATCAGACAGCTGGGACAGACACCTAACAAAAATTACACCTTGTCTAAAATTCGTGCCAGTTTACTGAACCAGAGGAATCCCCTCTATAGTAATTCTGGGTCCAGTTCAATATTGCCTTATTTCACTCTACATTAAAACCTCCCCTAATTGATTAAAGGTGGATAGAAAGAACTTCACCCAGCATGCCTAAAACAGTGTAAAGTCATACATAATAGCCTGTCCACACATGGAGTTACCCTGATTAACACCATGTGTGGACATTTTTACTCCAGAGTAAGAATTCCTTGTTCCCATTTAGTTTGCTACCACAAACTATACCAGAAACGAGGCACATTTAAATGAAAGTTTAAGAAGTATTTCTAGAAAACATCATGGCTACGGTCATCTGCAGATCTGACAATAGCTTTTTCCTTGGTTTGAGGTGGGGGTTTTTGCTTAATACACATTTCCACTGTAAATTGGCACTCTCACCTACAGTCAGATTGAGAGGCCTCCAGTACATGTGATTCCAATTACTGACCCCAAGCTTTGTAATGAGCTGAGCCATGCACTGCAGGCTCCATCCAGAGGTTCTGGGAGTCCATGGAAAGCAAGGGCTTATGAGAGGGAACATTTTACATAACCACATTTTTTCCTTGTATCTGTTTGTAAAGGCTGTGTAATCTTTTGTGTAGCTCTAAAACAAACAAATTCTTTAATGAGGATTTTGTTTCTACTTTGGAAGAATAAAAATCATTTGCAGAAGCTTAGATTAATGAGTAATGACAGTGCGACAAATCATTGTGCAAGTCATTTCCAAGGGTCCTGTTGAGAGTAGATAGATGCAAGTAGATCAACAAAGAATTTAGAATTACTTTATCAAATCCAGCCATCTATGGCAGCAGGTTCACAGCTCCCATTTGGCTACTTAGGAATTCTTGAGATGGCCTGATTAAGTCTCTCTAAGGGCATCAACCTCTGTCTAATGAACAAAGCTGACACGAAGTCCCAGCTGTTGTGCCTTCCAGCTCATCTCTTTCACTGCAGCTCCCAAAGCCTGATATTTTTTTCACCACTCCACCTATCTGTCCCAGAAGTTGAGTGAAAGGAAGGGGAAATGAAACTGCACTATCTTTCCTGTTTTCAGGAAGAATGTTGCAAGGAATTTAACAGACTCACCTAGAAATTAAATCTAAGTGTAGATTTGTAACTAATAAAGGGAAACTCCTTGGGCCCTATGGCAAAAAAGGAAGGTACATATTGGCTTTTGTTATGTGCTGTATTAAAGATGCATTAAAAGGCCTCTTCTACTTAATAGGAAGAATACATCACTGATTGGTACAGACACACAAGGATTAAGAGGATTCATGTGGATCTTACTGTCTCCCACAGTAAATATAAGACCTCAAACTCTACAGTAGGTAAATCCATGGCTGTAGGAGTACAAATGACCACTCAGCTTAGCTCTAAATACCAGTATGAGCATTGTACAACTGACATTCAGCTTCTTTCTTGCCTGGAGCAGGAAAAGAAAAAGAAACTTAGCACAGCTTTTGGAGATGGGATGCACAGTAATCCTTGGTTATTTTTTGAAATGGCTACTGTCATTACAGATAATAGTTGCTTGCTCATTTTGAGTCAAACTCAAGGTAGTATAATTTCAAATAGCTCTCTGGGCTTGTTGACATCACTTTGTGCATCATCACTGATCATCAAAGCCCCTTGGGGACAATTTAAATGCACTTTCCATATCCTTGTCAGGGATTAGTTTGGAATCAATCAGGATGCAGGCACATCCCCATCCCCAAATCCCAAACTACGAAACATCTGTACCAAATGGCTCCAGCCTAGGTCAACAAAAGGAAATGGGAGGGCTGTGAGCCTCTGTCGCCCTACAAGTCCAAAACTGCACCTCCAAGAATGCCCACCCAGACACCACCACCAGGTTTGCTATAGCATTTTGTAGCTAAAGGCAGAGCTGGAATAAATATTGTGTCATTCATAACAATCCTAAATTTAGACTGTTTTTTATATAAATTGGATTATATATAAATAGAAATACATAAATATGTAATATTTATATATATGTGTGTGTGTGTACGTATAGGTATAATAACATATATGTATGTATGTATGCATGTATGTATATGTACATGGATGTCACTAGTCCAAGCTACTGTGCCATTTGCATACGCAAGAAATACAGATGCTTGCATCCAAACAAGGGAATCTACCTGGGCTCTCTGTTTCAAATGCCTAAAAACTGTCAGATGAGGCTTGGCTTATCTTCCAGAGCTTTCCTTGTCACAGTCAAAACCTCTTTTCACACTTTGCATGGATCAGCTAAATATTCCAGGCTGGGACTCATAACCCTGAGTACTTTTCAACAACATTGCTTCTATGTGTGTTGAGGTTTTGCCCACTTTGGAGTCTGTATCCATTTTTTTTACAGGTTGCCTACATTTTATTTTCTCTCCTGTCTGATTTAGGGAAATAGATGTAGCTCTCTTGGACACAGAACACATGCTGGTTGTCCATTAATATGGATGGAGACTGCTTTTAAGACAAGAGGGGAGTTTATCTGTGCATAAAGGAATGCTTTGATGATCCATGTCATTTCCCTTGTGGCATTATTTGTAGAATTCAGGAATAACTCAATCTGACATTCATGGGACATTTCCTGCCTCTCCTTCTAGAGATGCATCTGCCCAGTCTCTCAGATCTCACTTCCCATAAATTCCCTTTCCCCTTCTAAACTTCCTCATGTTCCCACACAGGGAACTAGCCAGATGTGTGGATCTGCAAGGTGTTTTCCATGACCTGAGCCCTAGGAAGGCTGGGATCCTTTGGATAAGCTGGAGAACAGTGCAACTCTTACACACAGGTAGGAGGGGACAAAGCATCTGCTTTAGACTCTGCCTGGAGCCTCCACAACAACAAACCCAACAACAGCACACATCAGTCGCTGTCTTAGCTGCAGTCTAAATAAAATCTCATTATAAACGGTGGGGAAAATCCATCAGTAAAGTAAATGCTGATCTGGTTAAGGCCATTTTCCCTCCTGATAACCCTGGTAAGTCTGAACTCCATTCCTTGTCAAACAAAAGTAATAGCAAGCATGTGGCCCAATTATCTTTGGGCACCAGAAAATATAACAATACATTTCAGTCTTGAACAAATAAAATCCCAGAGTCAGTTGTACCTACTAGCTCCAAACTAGGAGTAGTTTTCCATGTTTCCTCGTGGTCACTGAAGACCTCCATCATTCAGTGCTGTTTCTTCATTGTTTTATGAATTTGCTGTATTATTACAAGTCTTTTTGCATAGTTGTAATAAACAAGAACCCATCCTACCCAACTGCAAACAATTCCAACTTGCCAAAAGACCTTTATCTTATCAGTAGAAACTGATTTAAAACAGTATAACTGTAAGCAGGCAGACAATGGAAAAAGTATGAACACTGATAAAACTCTGCAACAAATTCATGTGTACTCATTTCCTCCTTCTCCCCCAGTTTCACAGATAACCTGTTTCTTTTCCTCAGTCTCAATTTCCTTATCAGAGATTCTCAAACTTTATTTACCCATGTGCCCTATCTTTTAGACTTCACAGCCTTGGGCTGAATATCTTTGTCCCAGGAACCCAAGATCATTCTTGGTAGTCTGATTCTACAAACACATGTTAATAATACTATTTACAGGGAGTGTGGGGGAGTGTGGCTTCCATTTACAAAATTCTGACACAATTCTGATAAGTGGCTACGAGAGGGTACGTTAATAAACATGAATTTAAAAGTTATTGTAGTGTAGCGAATTGTTTAGAATAAAAATATTATAAACTTACCATATTTTCTGGCACAATTCAGCAGAAACTGGTTGATACCTGGTAACACTGAGTTTTCTGTCTATCAGGGACTACTCTGTCATTCCTTTCTTAGATCCTGGGTGGGCTCTGGAAGCAGAGTAAGCAACAAAGTTTAGGTTCTGGCTAAAAGAACTTGAAACAACTAACCCTTTCTTTTCCAGACTACCCTTTCCTCACACTCTTATTCATTTTGACTTTGATCTCACAACTGCTCTTTCATATAGTCATAGAGCTTGGGATTGGATCATACAATAAAAGATCGGAAAATAGGACAGGGCATGCAGACAGCAGCAACTTACACCCAAAGGAGACAGAAAAAACATACAGGTTGGCCACACCCTGAAAGTCCTAAATATTTAGGACTTAATTATCCAGGAGAAATGTGGCCTGCGTAACAGCATGTTTGAGCAGGCTTTAACAGATATGCTGTTTCTAGCTCATTCTCTCTGGCTTCTGAGATACCTTTTGGCCAAATACTGGACCTCTTGGTGCCTCATGTTGTCTATAGGGATAACCTAATTTGTAAAATGCTTTGAATTTCATAAAATTAAACAAGGTGCATAAGCATTAGTTGGTAGAAACTAGCAACTTTAAGCCATTAGTTTCCCAAGACTGTGGTATGAAGTATTTTAGACCAATTTTAATTTAACTTCTATTTCCCCTGCTTCAAAGCAGCATCCTATATAATCTATATTACAGTGACATTAGTGTTTAGAATAGCTCTCGTATTTTCTCCAAACTTAGAAATGTGCAGGCACATTTCCAGCCAAATAGCAGATACAGACATTTGTTGGATAGTTATCTGTACTCTACTTCTGAAATATTCCACAAACATACAGGCTGCCATTATGAAGATGTAACTTGTGCATGTCAATAATAGTTGCATTGCAAGTCAGAAAGCAGGGTTCTTTCAAATAGGTGTGTTTGAGGGGTATACAAAACGTGTCTTAACTCTCCTGCAGCAAACAGGTCGTATGAAAAACATTTACAGAATCACTTACATAAATCCAGAAAAAGAAATTCCTTTATTCATCTCCGTTTATTCAATATACTGTATTTAATAGCTCTGCTAAAGACAAGTGAAAGCTTGGCTCTACAGAAATCATTGGCAAAATTCCCACTGACTTCAGTGGGGCCAATGCTGTTAACTCTTCCCTACAAGGAAAATCCAGATTGCCTAGGAAGCTGGCTTGCCTCTGCTAAAACCTCAATCCAGACTGCTTACAAGTTGAACTGGCTTAGTACAACTACGAAAGCTGTTATTCTTGAGAATTTGCCAAATCCTCAAGATAAAACTAGCATAATAAATTATCCCTAAACTTTTACCCTGGAGTAAAACAAAACTTCTCATTTTATAAATGAAAGCACCTATGTAGACTTCCATATAGTCCAGTGGTTTCACTGAGTTTTACAGAAATTAAAAAAATTATTATTATTTTCAAAAACAAACTCATGCTTATTAAATGAACATTCTGCCTCCAACTTTGATAACTCTTTATTAATGCACTAAAATATATACAATTTGTTGAAATATAAGTATATTGTTTTGTATCTTCTGAAACTATCTGAATTTAGGATGATTTATAGTCTGTGAGGAAAAGCTAAGTGAATTGGGATTGTTCAGCCTGGAAAAGAGAAGGCTCCAGGGTGACATAACTGCCCCTTCCAGTGCCTGAAGGGAGCCTAGAAGAAAGATGCAGAGACTATTTACAAGGGTCTGGAGTGACAGGACAAAGGGGAATGGTTTCAAACTGACAGAGGGCAGGTTTAGATTGGATATTAGGAAGCAATTCTCTGCTGTGAGGTTGGTGAGTCCTGGTACAGGTTGCCCAGAGAAGCTGTGATGCCTCATTGCTGAAAGTGTTCAAGACAAATTTGGACAGGGCTTGGAGCAACCTGGGAAGGTGGAAAGTGTCCCTGCCTGTGGCAGGGGGTGAAAAGGGATGGGCTGCAAGTTCCCAACGTAGACATTCTATCATTTAAATAGTCTATTCCAGACCATTTACTACACCAAACCATTCAGTTTCCTTATTCCCATCAAAATACAAAGATGACTTTGTGAATAGGAAAAAACCACAAGGAACTTAATTCAATGTGGAACAGAAAATTCAGCAACATTGTGGTAGTGCAACAGAACCCCTAAAAATCCAGCTGTGTCTCTAAGTTATACAAGGATGGTCCATATTTAGAGTACTCTGCTAAACGTTAGTGTTCACTGATTAACTCTCTCTGTGCTCTCTTGCAGAGTCTTTGTAGCCTAATTTCAATACAGCCAAACACTTCATCATTATTTAACAGGCTTTTTAACTTCACTGGGATTACTCACACACCTTAATTTATAGTTGCTCTTAAATTCTTTATTGAACTAGGTTATATAAAGTGTCCTAAAAAAAAAGTTCCACTCATGTTTTTTATTTTCCAAAATGTATGTTAAGAACTGTAGTTTTTCACTATAATTTCTGGAACCAGCATTTGCCAGACTCCATCACAGGTCAAAACAATCTTTTTCACTCACATGCTGTTCATGCATCCTTCTGTATTTGCTGATGGCTCACAGAATCTGACATCCTTTTCACTTCACTGCCTGCCACAGTGAGCTGGCTTTCCTACTAAAGCCAGCCTTACTAGAAATGTCTGTAAATTCTTTTTTGGTTTGCTGTTCTGTTTCTAGTTTAAAAAAAAAAAAAATAAAAAAATCATGCTGGAGTTTTCACAGCCAGATTTCTCTTCTTTCCTCAACTGAGGAAGAGGACCCAAACAGTAATGTCAGCATTGCTTTCATATGTCAATCATATGTAGATTTTCAACAGAAAAGAGAAAAAGAAGAGAAGGAGGCAATGACTGTTCTTTTTAAAGAGCTAGCAATTTTGGCATTCAATTTTTCTTCAGAGTTTACTTTCACAGAGAACACATACAAGAATGTGCTTGTATCTCAGGCAAGTGTACCCCATATTAATTTTCTTAATGAGTGAAGACACAGGAGTAGGTACTTGCAGGAGATTACAGACAAACCCATTAACACATTATCTCAACCCCCTGATTGTTCACTGCGTTTAAGACAACTCTTCCAGGCATGGTTCTACATAGTGGAATCACTCCTTTATTTGCTTATGTGGATATTAGCTGGCCACTCCTAGAGGATCTAGCACTGTGGACATTTGTAAATCCAGACCCCTAGATATTGCCTTCATATAAACAGCAACTAGCAGTACTAATGGTGTATGAAATATTAATAAAAGCCTAAATAATTCATCTGTTCTCTTCCTACATTCCTCATACAATATGATTAATATTTACCTTAGACACCAGATAAAATACTGGAGCTGTAAGCTGTCAGAGCTGCTAATACCTTCTCATCAGATTGACAGCTTTTGAGAACAAAGATTAACTAGAGATCTTTCCTGCTAGAAAGACAAGTTTGTTCTTAAGAGCACTGCCAGGATAGAAATGAGACTAATTATGCATGTGACTTTAAAAAGCCCTCACTATTTTATCAGCAGAATGGCAAGGTCAGAAATTACTTATGAGAAAGATTCTATCACCCTCTAGAATGCTTTCAGAATTGTATTATTTTTCAAGCAGGAGAGGGAGAGGAGAGGGAGAGGAGAGGGAGAGGAGAGGGAGAGGA